GCCGAAATTTACCAATTAGTGCGTGAAAAGAAAATCTCTGACATCGTCAAACTCTGGCATGGTGACGAAATCGTAGTCGCAATCTCTCCAAATTTGGCGAAACTGGAAATAAATTGCGCCAAATTTGCTCGGTGATATTTTTTTATCAACATCGTTCGACGTCAATCAAATAAACTTGAAGTTAAATTAACTTATTTATTGACTAAATATGCCATCGTTTAGAAGGGAAAGCGCAGTGACTGATAATTTTGTAGTAATTATTTTCATTAACTAATTTAGATTTTCATTAATTTCAAGGCATACTTCAGCGCCAATAAATTGCTTTGTTGCGAATTCATAACCGACACGATAGTTGTTGATTTTAACAACGAACTAAAAACCGATTTGCCAATAATTTATAGCTCGTCACAAATTAGTTTTGGCACCAATTACTTTTGGCAGGTAATTAATATGTCACAAATTAGTTTTGGCACCAATTACTTTTGGCAGTTATGATGCTTGTTTCATAGCTACATTTGAATCAATTGCATTTTGGTCTTCTTCCAAATTTAAAAGCATTTCACGCAAGCGCACACTTTTACCTTATATTCATTTCGCATTTGTTTCAAAACTCGCATACATTTGTGTTTAAGATGAAGTACAGGCATGACGCAAAGGAAGCAAGTGCATTTTGCTGTACAGGCGAAGCCCATTCACCTCTAGCGCAATCTGCTGCACACGATTTTTTCCCCTCGTTATTTCAGCTCGCTTTTGCTGGACAAAACTGTTGTGGCTTGGATGCCACACATCGAGGCTGTAGCATTGGAACAACAGTCGCATTCACAAGTCTTTCTCCAAGTCCTAGCAACAATTCGGTCAGAACCTCATGCAGGAATCGTTTATTAAACAGGATTTTTACATCCATCACGGTTGTATGGTCTACCATAACCACTGTTTCATGAAAAAGAGGCTGCGATCGAGGTTCTATTCTCCATGCCATCCATTATATAGCTCTGTATAAATAAGTTGAACTGCTGCAGAAAAGAGAACTTTATTGTATTTTTTAAATTTTGTTATTGCAAGGTATTTTTACAATTGCGCGAATTAAACTCGACAATAGAACCTTGCGTATATTCTTTTAAGGACAATTTAAAATTGCTCCTTTTTAATGAGTTTAATTATCGTTAATTGCATGTATCAGGTCAAATCGGGTCCCTCCAAGTTTTCGCTCCAGTCCAATGATTAATATTATCGAAGAACCATTACAGTCAGGCAAATTTCCTAAAAATATAAAAAAACATTTAAGTAGTTCAAATTTGCATAACCCTTTTAGAGCGCTCATTTAATTGCAAACTTGTTCGTCCGATCCAATGCTGTTTTGTAATTAGGCTTCTCATTGAATTTCGAATACCTGAACTGCCACTTCAGCATGTTTTAAATCCTTGAACTTTAAATAATGACAGCGAATGAAATCCACTCGAAGCTTTCCATTAGAAGAGATTTATATGTTGATCTTTTATCAAATGTTCCAATTTTCTCTCGCCTGTCGGCTGAAAAAACTTTTAATGATAGTACAAAAATAATGGAACGCCTTCCAAAGTATTTATTTAATGAAATCCACTCGAAGCTTTCCATTAGAATAGATTTATATGTTGATCTTTTATCAAATGTCACAATTTTCTCTCGCCTGTCGGCTGAAAAAAAAAAACATCTAATGAATTTACAAAAATAACAGAACGCCTTCCAAGGTATTTATTTAGATGCTGCCCGGCATGCCACCTCCTAACGGTCGTTCGAGACTATGAGAGATATATTATGATAGATACGAGTATATTTTATATTAGATTAGATTTTGTTAAGCATACTTAGCTGATTATCAGTTGCGAGATTTTAGTATAAACCAATGTATGACAAAATAAGATACTGAGTGAAATAGTGTAGAACACTATTTTTAAATGATGGGTCCGGCCCTTGACTGGCCCTTGAAACCGGCCCTTGAATGACTTCAAGTGACAGATCAGACACAGATGATGGAACGCCTTTGTAAAACATTCTGTTTCACCCTTTCAAAAATTAAGAATTGTTCAAAACTAAAGAGAAATTGCTTTTTGGTAGCACAGATCGCCTATTATTTTCACCTAAGTTGTCTCAAATCAGTTTACAATAGATGGTTATATTGGCTTTTTAATTGGTTATTTTTATGGTAAGTTGTCAGCTGATTGAATTGTATACTATATGAACGGATGGAAATTTATTAGGATCAATTTCAACTTTCCTTTCGATTTAAATATGAAGCACAAATAAAATTTCTGAGTGTCATGAATATATATCAATACCCTGGAAAATCTAGAATTTTGTGTGGAATTTTGCCGTCCAGGATTTCAGTGATATTCAATTTTTATTAGAACCAAAATTCTGGTTAAAATTACATTGAAATTGTCAAACCTACTTTAAAAGCGGGTTAATAAAATTATCCGAAGAATAAATAAATAAATAAAAAAAATAAATGACTCGTTGGCGAGTCAAAAAATCTAGCATTTCATCCAACTACCAAAATTTTTCGTCATAAAAAATAGAGCATTAATGAATAGGAAAAAATTTACCTTTACTCAAGTATTCTTGCTTTGACGTTCGTCGCAAGGTGGCTAACGTAAGAAAAGTTGACTGAAGTTCGAGGAAGACAGTTGTGATTTCCTCGACAGTTCGTTCCAGTGCTTGGTAGTGAAGGTATCGCTGTGCTCGCCACGTTTGATTACGCTAAGGCTTGATTTGGATTTTATTTCACAGTATGTATCTGATGTAGAACAGGCATTATGCGTCGTGAAGGAAGAGAAGTACTTCGTGGAAATTAATGCTGCTACCAAGTGAGAGGTTAAATGGTGCCCGCTATAAATTTGTGGAATAACCAAAAATTCTCATAGAAAGTAAAAAAAACTAATAATGCCTCTATTTATAATAGAATTATCGATCCTTCTAGGATTAATGTTAATCATGTAACTATCTAACAAGGTATTCTTGGCAGGCATTTGACACTTGTGTGTTGTGTTCATTAACCCAGCCGTAGATCATGGACGTTGGCACATCGACAACGTTTCGATCGCAGCCATGTCACGTTGGCAGCCTCACCTAGTCCGGAATAAACTTAATTATAGTTCTTATTCTAGTGAATTAACTTTTAGTTCGTATTCTAGTGATTAACAATGATAACTTCATTAACACGTAATCCAACACGAACGGTTAACTTCTAATGCAACCAAGAAAGCTACGCCCTACTTGAGCAATTACGAATTACCTCGCCTCGTATTGAGAATACCTGCTTTCAATTTCATTACTCGTTGAAGGACGCCGTCAGATTTTTCCGGACCTAACGACAAGTCCTTTGAAATTTGATAATTCTCCAAAGGGGCTGGAACAAAACCAGACACCTCTCGGTAACGCGAAATAAGTTCTAGTATAATTATTCTTTTGATTTTGTGTCGGTAGATACATAGTTGCATATTCTTTGTAGGGAAGACTTGGTAAAATTACCCGTTTCATCGTTTTTTCGCCGACAAAATGTTCTGACGCAGTTCGATAGCGCAATTGAAAGCTTTATGTTCGATAACCTATGTTATGAATCATAGTAGCAGAGGTTAGGCGTTGGTCGCTTATAAACGAGGCAATAATATATTCCATATACAGTATGCCACCATCGTGTATCTGCAACCGCGACAATTGAAGTGGGAATTGTCGTCATAATCTGTAACGGCACTATTCCCAGCTGGAAAATCTTAGGACACCCTCAAGTGACTTGGGATGCATATTACATATTCTCCCATATGATGATAGCGGTTTGATAGCGGTTTCGACGTTTATTAGGCCGTAGGCCTGCCGCCGATTCTTAACATCGAAGAACATTCACAGCTTGTTGCGGTCTCGAACTCGCAACTCACTGCTCCAATTCTGCTTTGCTTTTAACAGCCCGGCCTCCTCGCCGATTCTGACCAGAAACTGACGCACAGAGCGGGGTTCGAACCCGCGCCTCTCTGCTCCAATTCTGATACGTACTCTGAACTGTAACCACTGGGCCACCCTGCCACATCGTCAGGGCTGTGGTAACACAGGCCATTGGATCCTCATCCATCCTATAAATACTGGCTGGCACCAACTGGGGCTTCCCGAGGGAGTTTATCGTTGCCAACTACCGGACCATCACGCGCCCAATCCACTATAATTAAGGCAGCCCCTATCCTGTCTGGAATACAACGGCCCCCTCTTAGCAACCAGTTTTCTCAAAATTGATTCAATCTCCCACGCAGAGACGGGCGTTTTCCACTTGTTCACTCACCTGGGTTAGGCATGTTTACAGTTCCTTACCTGAACCATCCAGCCGTTACATCCTTCCTTTCAAATCATCCCCATATGATGTGGATGGTTTCCCTATCATATGGGGAAATCTCATTTCATCATCATCATTTTCATTTTCAGCCCCGACCTATGAAGCCTTCCCTCATGTCAAAATTCGACCACCTTGTGACCTCCTGCTGGCGAAAGGAATTTTCCAGCCATTCGAAAAGCGAAGTAGAGACGAAGCCGACTCCTCACAAAAAAATCGTATGCGGCGTTTCGACGACTAGCGAGAACAACGTGGTCCTGCTTACTCCACCTCGCATTATTGTTTCTGAAAAGGCCTCGCTCCCATACCCCGAACGCTCGGCTCGCTCACAGCTCCATTCGTGCCACTGCAGTTCCCTGGAGTCATATGCATGAAGGGTCTACGCTCACAAAGTGCCGCTTGTCCTGAGTGCGGAGATTCCCTCCGGTCCGTCCATGATCGTTTTGTCTGCCCCTCCTTCCCCACGACCTTCATCGTGCATGCGGCCAACTCCTTGGCCACGCTTCTTCTTCCTGCGTTTGTCCATCTCCCTCTTATTGCGGTGGCCCACTCGCGCGCAACACGGAGCCGCCACTCTATTGCCACCTAATTAATGTCATTTAGTCATGCGTACTTGTTGAAACGTACTATATCGTTTGTTGGGATATTGTGCGAACCAGTTGATAGAATTATTTTACGCAGTACACTCACACTGAACGTATGCTCATAATTTGATACTGGATTAAATGAAACCTCATTGAAAATCTGACAGAATGAGTTCGGGGCAACGTGAAGGCCAATATTATGTTGAATTATTATAACTGAGTAGCTAAGCTGGTTGTGTCTGATCTGCGAGAATATTAATCCATGTGCAGGCATGAGTATTGCGAAGTAAAATTTGTGTATTCACATTGCATCGGCGACACAGTTGGCGTTTCTGAATAGTACGCTAGTATCAGTAACGTATGAGGCTGAAGTTTATCATCATGGACAGAGGAAATGATTATTTTGAATCGTTTCTGCAGTCTACCTGCGTACCTCCCGGGAGAAATGACGAATGTGCTCAAGGTTGGTCATAGCAGTACGGCGCAACAAAAAAGTTTGCAATTATGTGCAAAGAAAATATTTCTCCCATGAGAGAGTTGGAATTACTGAAATATGCAGCTTGAGTTTGTGACTGTATATCAATTATGGTTTTGAGTGTTATTTTGTTCTGTTGACTAGTTAATATATGTGCTCGTTCACCTACAGGTGAGGCATCGTTGCAAGTACCGCTGGGAGCTGGCGGTGATCCTCTCCCTTCATTTCAGATGTCGTTCCCTAGTCAAAACTGTTTCGCCTCTGGCACAGGCAGCAGTGGCATCGATAATGTTCTATCCACAATTGGGATGGAAACCACAATCCCAAACGCTATTGAAATCCGGAACACTCCAATCCAAAATTTATCAAGCCCCTCTCTCACAAGAAGCTCGCAAGCAGCTCAAGGGCTAGATATCTGTCTCGAGATGGCAGTGTTTCATCGAAGTATAACTCCGTGGCGGCCAATTCGTTTAGGTTATGTCGATTTACCACCGGAAGCCACACATTTTTCAAGCAGTGCCGTTACAGTTTCTTCGCTATTAATTGATTCGTTTTACACATTCTCAAGGCGAGTTCAATACATGTCTCCCATAACGAGCGTTTCACGAGATGAGGCTGCGATGAACATTTTACTTTCGGTCCCGTCCATTAAATTGAGCCCTGTCAATGCCAATGAGTTTTCGTTCTGCGATGTGTGTCGTACAGAAATGACGTCGCAACAAAATAAGAAGCATTGTAAGTTGACAATCGTCGATCCTAACCCTAACCCAAACTTGAAGATTTCATTCCCTTTGCCTGCATCACATGATAACTTCTTGTTATTTCTAGTGGAAGGGCGGTGTTATCCATTTGTTTATGAAGCCAGTTTGAAAGCAATTACGGAACTAACCATTGGTCCTACGACCTACTGTTTTGAACCTGATATAATGATCCCGTCGGTTGCAAGGTACAAGGCCGCTGGGACGAATAGGTCACTTACAGTTATCCGCGTATCATGTGGTAGAACGTGCGTATTTTATCATCATGATTTTGAATTGGATGAGAAACTTACATTACGTACTAATGGCAAACGATATACTTTAACGCTAACTCAAACTCGACTAAATTATGCAGAGGAACAGCAGCTTGGGTGTCAAATGACCAACTATTTCGCTGTTGCCTCCAGGTCAGATTTATGCAGTTATCACTTCGTTTTGAAGCGTGAGGATCCCTACTTCATGATTAAAAATTTTTTAGTCGGTGAACCACGTGTATTTAAACGAGATTATTGGATTCTTGGAGATACGGTGGATGCTAAAAGAAAAATGCCCTACAGTTCCCAACGTATGAGCTTGAAGATTGCTCAAGCGGGTACGTTGACATCTCTTGTCGGCGAACATCTTTATGACTCTAACATACTCAGCAAACCTTTGATAACTACAAACAATAAACTGGTCCTTTTCGAAAAAAGAATCAAATTAGCCATGTCTCTTAGTCTCGGCTGATTTTTTTACGTTTTCTTTATTATAATAGTATCACGTGCGCGAGCCGAAAGACGCGTTTTTAAATTTTAATGACCTGTGTTCTTCAACATTTAGATTTTACTTTGTAACAATGATTTGCTTTACTAATAAATCTAAAATAACACTTCTGCAAATCATTATCTCGACTTCCACATTACTGAGAGATTATAAGTAAGCTGCGTTTGTCTCAATATATACATTGGAGCAAATGTCATGTTACTGACGAAAATGTGTGTGTTATGTTAGGCCTGTAAAAAATCGGCTTCTTCTTGAATTGTAAATGCATAAACTGTTATTGTCATTCGGCGATGCTGAGTATTAATAAAGCATAATGAAAACTTTTAGGCCAACTCATCAAAATCGTTGAAATATAAGTGGGTTCCATTAGTTGCAGTAGCATCAGAGGCCCCACATTCACTAGCTGTTATAAAGTGCTTATAATGAATCGGTGTAACTTCTAATAATTGCTTGTTGTTATTCTTGAACATAACCTGATTGCCGGAGAAGGTCTGGGGCTAAGGTAGAAGTCATTTGAATCGCAGGTCTCGTCCCCTGAAGGAAGAGGGCTTTCTGACGCACTTATACGGTCGTCGGAGGTCCTATGGGATATCGCGTTACTGGAGGCAGTGTTCCTGAGCTCCCAACTGCAGAGCTTATAGCATCTGACAGCAGGCCACAGTTGTGGGTATCATGTAGATAGGATTTATTTTCATTTCTCTTATGTACCCTCACCAAGCAGCCGAAGTCTCGTGTAAGCAACCTCTTGTAGGAGCATTTTCGTTGCTATTCCTTTTCACCTGTTTCCTAATTTAATATTCGTTTTTAGATGTAAACGCAGCTTCATTCTTGCCAGCTTCAGCGGCTTGCCCGCTTGAGACTTTCTTCCCCTTGTGGTTGATGAATGATCTGAGAAAATTTCAAGATCGAGACATACCGCCGTGCAGGCGAGGTTTATTGTCGACTACGCTGCGAAATATGGTGATAGCTAAAGTTCTATTATACCATACTATTAGGTCGCTAACACTGTCGGGTACCTAATCTCCTACCTTCCAAATTGGTACCAAATCTCAGACCTTACCATGAAGTTGGTCAAATGCAGTTGAAAATTTCTTCAGGTCGTAGTTTTTTGTGTGAGTGACAAGGTTCAATTTTACTAGTGTCTGTGCATGTGACATTTAAACCCCTCACAATTTCCGACAAACTTCGTGACTTTGTGCTCTAAAATTCGAGTCTTCGTCCACATGCTCAAGGATAGTGTAATAAAACTCTTCTCATGGTAGGTAGGGTCGCATCATTTGCTTACGTGATAAGTGGATTCCAAATCGAACTCAATAGAGTCGGGGCACTGCAAATGGCGAAGACAAAGCTTTACTATTCCGTAATTAAATGCTCTTGTTTTCATTATGGCCTAAAAATCTATTTTTTTTCATGAGGAATGAGGACAGTTCTCGAACAGAACTACAAGCGATTTCTCGAAATTATTGCATCGTGCAGATGAGATTTCAACCCTTCAAAACATTATGAAAGTGGATAATTCATATTTCGACTCGTGCTGCGAAAATTCAAGTGATTGACCAAAGTAATTACAATAAAGGTGACTGGTTACGTGGTTTCTTCTTTCACGTGTGAAGCTCTCCTAGACAATTTGTGTATCCTGCGACAAAAAAATGTCCGACTTTAGAAATGCCTAAAAAATAACTACCCACAGATAAGCGCGAATGGAAAAAATAAAAACTTGCTTACATCACGTATATGTACTCGATTGGAAGTACAAAATTTATAGGAGCATAATTTCCACGATATTACGCTCTTTTCTTGATATACATAGGCTACCTATACCAGCTCGGGGGAATTCAGCATTGGCAAAAACAACAGCATTGTGGGCGATTAAATTATTACATATTATAAATTAAAATTTGAACACAATTTACTACGTAACAAACTTCGAGCACCTATAGTATATTGCGTTGAATTTGAAATAATATAATTTTAAACCTATAAAGTTTTCTGTAAGGACTCTGATGGAGATCTGATAACATGAAAATGTAGCACCCGATAGCATTGATTAGTTTTACAGAAAGCCGATCTGATGAAGTTAGGAAAACTTAAAAATACGCGAGGAATTATTGGCAAAAAGCCGATGATTCCATCAATTTGAACAACAGGTGCAGACGCTGGAATATTATGACGAGTCTCATCCCCATGAGCTGGGCTAATCAATTGATACAATTAGGGCTAAAAAATAGCTCTTTCACTTCGAGTAAGAGACATCTCTGGTACGTATGCTCTCAGGATTCTTAGAACATGCAGATCACGCGATCGAAAATTCCCCATCGAAGTTCTTATATAAATATTTTCATTATAAGTAATGTTGCACATCGACGTGACCTCTTAATGAAGTCTCGTTTGAGTATTTTATTCTGAAATTAGTGAGATGCACGTAGTGGTTATCAGAAGCTGCCGAGAGGAGGCTGAGGCTGGATATGACCTGGTGGAAGAAGCGGCGCTAGGGACAACATGTTCCTGGTGTCCATCTTCTCCTGCACAAAAATGAATTTTTTTTAAACAGATGCTACCAAGAGCATGTTCTGATCACAGATTAGCAGCTCTCAGGGATTGAGTCACGAGCGACATTTCTCACGCAGGCATGTGGAGGCTACAAAACACTACACAATTCAGTTGTTTCATCCATTAAAAAAATATAACTCAGTACTCACTGCAGCGAGTGACAGAGAGCGCATTTTCTCGTCCACGAAAACGTGAAGTCACGGACGGACAGACGGACATGGCGAGCACAATAGTGCATTTTTCAAATAAATGAGAAAATGCGCTGAAAAATTATTGCATAAATCCTCTTCTGGGAACATTGAATGTTAATCTTTTTATTTACAGAAAGGATGAAATGCTCTGCAAGTACAATGGCAATGAGCCATTAACCCAAACCTGTTTGGGTGCAAGACATCCGTCGCCGCGCCCTGTTGCGTATGGCCCCTGGGCCACGTCAGGCACGGAGCTCGGGTCGTCGACAGCAAGCCGCCACCGCGCTTTGTACAGCGTCGAGTTCAATGTGTTCAAGTTGACGTCTTCCTCGCGTAGTTGCCACCTGTAACAAAATTACAGAAATAAATGCAAACTGAACGCGTTTTACAGACTTCGCCAACTGAACCAACACACCAATAACACTTTGGAAAAAATTATTCGAAATGGAAATAGAAGAATTTCTAGAACATCTCGTAAGGCTAAGGTACGATTTACAATAATTTGCATACTGTGAAAAAAATGTCAAAAAATACTGTGAAAAGAATGTCAGACGTTCCCTCCACACATTTAAAAACTTATTTAATGACATCGTAGTAAACTATCATACTTGTTCTGTCAAATGACGGCCATAAGAAGGCATCTTTTGTTGATGGATATTTTTATCATTAAAATTTAAAAAACAAACGAGAACTTATGATTTCTTCAAACCAATAGCTAAAGGAGAATCGAATATTTATGCTTTTCGACATGTTTAATCGCACCTTGCAAGCTCTTCTTTGATGATGACAGCGGCAGGCAAGTCTTCTTCGAGGTTGCGCTTCTTGCAGACAGACTCGAACTTGAGACGACGCAGGTGAGTGGGGTTACGCTTGTGGTTGTGGTGGGAAGTGAGGTCGAAGACGCCAATCATCGAGTCGCCTTTCTTCTTGAAGTTGCCGCAAGCTCGGCAGCCAGTGTAGCCGCAGCTAAAGTATATCGTCGTTTTCTTGATGCGCTTGACGCGGTAAACATATCCTGAGAAAGATACATATGTATCAATAGATGGCGGTGAACAGAATTCATTTGACCTTAAATAGGCCACAAAAACTTAAGACTTGTACACTAATGTTTTGGAAAGATAGTAGGCATTCGGCATGGTTATAGAATTTAAATTGTATCGATCTGGATTCAAATTTGAAAAAGTACGTCCAAACAAACTGATCAATATCATAACTCACTACCTCCTCTTATGATGACTTATAAAGTTATAATGAAATCATTCTATTGAATGACGCGTGTCGAAGACCCTTCAATAGTTTCATCAAATACTGACAAGCAACTGCATCTGGTTAGCACTAGCAGCCACGTTCAATTGTAAAAAGTAAATTATAAGGGTCCTCACTAACCAGTGTCATCGGCCGGATAGACTAGCTGACTGCCCAGTCTGGACCCTTCAGTGACGTGCAGCTCGACCGTGCGTCCCGTCTGGGCTTTCTTCTTGCTGACATCTGCTTGTATGCGTTTGCTCGTTGCTGACGTCAGCTTCGTCATGGACGTCTTCAGGCCCTTTTTACCTGACTTGAGAGTTCGTTTCGTCTTGATGACTTTAGAGGGCGTTGTAGTTGAGGCGACGTCGGCATCAAGCTCGGTGTGAGCCTGCAAGGGAAAAGACGTTGACCGCATCACACGAAGTGCATGATCGGAAACCTCTCGATTCTGATGGAACAATTTAATAGACTTACTTCATTTATGATGAGAGCTTTCGACATAGCGTTACTTCCATGATAATTCTATCTGAAGCATCAACTTGGATAAACTAAATTTATTCAATAAATTATTACCAAAGTGTGGACGGACAACAAAGCTACCAACCACAATCCTCTGAATCAGTCGACAGTTTCTGTCATTGATATGAAGAAGCATAACCGAAGTTTGAATGTGCTATTATGCTTGGTAGTTTTGGTAAAATTTAGATTATTTGTATATGGCAAAAAGGAATATTTGTTTCAACGATACAATGAGCTAGTACTATAAAAAAACACGCACTGGCGCTTGGTAGTATAGCACATCGCCAGGCCTGACTCGCAGCTGGGCAAGAGAGCAGTCCAGGATGAGGTCACCAACCGCGAGGATTGGCTTCTTGTCCGCCTCTGGTGTTGAGCAAAGTTCGTCTCCTGAAATTCCATCACACGGATGAGAATATTTTGGAGCCACCGTTTCTCCATTGCACTTCTCATCCACCGTGACGTCCATCAAAACTTGGCCGTTTTCATCAGCTGTAATAGCCATCGAATTTTGATATTTTTCATCCCTATGCTCTATCGACAGCAGGGAATTTCTGTCAGCCATCTCTCCTGATGAGGTAATGCATTTATCACCCTCCAAGCGGCGCTGACCATCTTCTGCTGATGACGTGAGCACGTCTTCCTTCAGAGGCGCCTGCAAGTCCTTCCTCACGAGTGGCATATCGTTACCGAGGTCAGCATGCAGCTCTTTGTTTTTCTGTATTGAAGCGATAGCGGCCTGACGTTCTTGTGACCACGCAAGCCACAATTGCAGAGGTGTAGACCATCCAGCCTGCTGTTGCACCTGTTAAAGACACGTCATTCGAATCTTAATTAATGCAAAACAGAAATTATTTTACTTTCATACGTAATATGAACAAGATACAAGTTCAACAGTATGGGATTCATAAGTCATCAGGGTCGTAACTAGTATATGCTAATTATTCAGACTGAACTTCATTGAATCCGAAAGCATTATTCTGCACGTGGTTGAATATTATTTTTATCTCAACGCTTCAAGAAACCATATTCTTTAAAACTTCAACTGCGTGTTATCGGTGGAGAGCACGAAGTGATGTAAGATAATTAGTTTTCAACTGAAGCATGCTATGAAACGAGTATTCAAGCACTGAATATTAAAGAGGCTCATCTCAGGCCTTGAGTTTAGTACAGTATCTCACAAGACTTGGTGGGAAAAATAAAAGCAATGGACACAGTTCAGCCGCGCCTAGAAGTGAAGGGAACAACAAGTGCAACGCACACTGACCATTAGTAAGACGTTCCTGAAGGAGTCAGATGACGACACGCGAAGGCTGAGGCTGTCAGTGTCAGCGTAGCGACGCTCCTCCTCCGCCATGGCCGCGGCTCGGCGGCGCTGACTTGCACGAGGTGAACGAGTGGCTGACGAGAAAATTCACAGTAAATGTTTGACGAGTATCGGTGCCTAACTAAGAAAAATGCAGAAAACAGTGCAAAACTCTTACCTGCAACTATGATCACTCAGAATGAGCTGCGATGATGAAAATTCTCATCATAATTACGCAATTATCTGAACATTAAACGTAATAAAGCACTCTATATCAAATCATTCCAATTAGTTCAAATTTTACCATAAAATTCATTGCTACTAACGAATTTTACTAGCATAAATCTTACGAAGAGAGTTAGCACCCCGAGCGCTGCCTCGCGGTCGCCCTCTGCCGCGAGTCGCAGTACTAATCAAGTCGTCAGGAGAGGATGTGGTGCTCGTCTGTGAAAAAATGAAATCTTAACAGATGTTATAATTAAAACATATAGGACTCTAAATATCCCTAGTAATAATAATAAAAACATTTGGTACATCTTTATAAATGTTAACATTCTTGAAGTTCATATGAAGTGAAACATTATCAACTTTGATAAGAAGGAGCCATTAAATTGATTATATAGTTCAGAACAGCGCCATCGTTGAGCAATAAACAATAGCAACAGTTTACACTCACGTCTGTTGTACCGTCCACGTTGCTAGTGGCTTTCATGACCAAGGAGTCCGTCATCTGTACATCTGCGTCGACGACTTCTTCAGTTACAGAATTTTGTTGCGTCTCGTCCTTCAGTCGTGATTTCAAGCCCGTAGTATTGTCGAGTTTTCCAGCAGATTCACCCTCGAGGTATTTATTTAGCGAACTAGAGTCAGCTGACTTTGATTCAGTAAGAGATACAGGACTTCTGCATGTAGGTGATTCATCATTCATGTCACTCTTTGACGATTCATTGCATATATAATTCTTTGCTACGACAGCCTTGGAAATATCAACGATCTCACTTTTATCAACTTCCGCATGTGGGATACTGTTAACGGAGTTTTCATTAAGATTTCGATTTTCGGTTGAAGAATTGGAATCCGTGATTTGTGTTGGAGAGAATTTAGTATTCGATAGTGCTGAATAGCCGTCTTTAAGGGACTTATCAACTGAATTTTCGTAGTCAATTGCAGTGATTCTTTTCTGCTCCAATACATAATCCTCAGCACATCGTTCATAGCCCCCGCCAATACGAGAAGTTTCTTCAACTCTTTGATGAACTTCATCATCAACATCCATAGGGACGTCCGAAATCCGCACTGGTTCGGCAGCAGCCCCTTCGAATTTTTGAAGCTCTGTATTCTCATCAGGTTTGGGAAAATGCGAAAATTTTAATTTGGCGTCTAACAAATGCGTACGCTCATCAGAATCTGAAGGTTCTTCGACATCTGCACTATCACTTATATTTTTATTTTTTTGAACCGGCTCGTCCATTTCCATTGAATCGTTAAATTTTTCAGACATTAATTGAGTGCGGTGAAAATTTTTTGATTTCTCCGGAACGAATTTTTTAGTTGGAGAAGCCTTGTTCAATGCATAGCTGTCGACTTGAGCGTCATTTAAAGTTTGAAGGTGGCCATCTTGCGACCGAGAACTTTCATCACGTTGAGCTGACGGTTGCAGGAACATCAAGATCTCCTCCTCGGAGGTCACTCTTAAGACCTTCACGTACTCGTCCTGATATTCAAAGAGAGACTCGTATTCTGCAGCAGCTCGTTCCTCCACGCAGCCTTCCTTGCAGGCAGCTGTGACGAAACAATATCGGTATTAAAATCGGGAGCTGGTTTTTATACGGCTATAATTTTAATGAAAAAATAATTTCATTTTTTTCATTTTCCAAATAATATAGTCAGTAGGTCATGCCACTTCAGAAGGCAACTGATTTTAATCTTTTAATAATTGAATGGTCAGTTGATAAATGAAAATTTATATATGCTTGACTATAAACAAACCGACTGAAAACAACTAAAAAGGTTTTTGACCGCACTATCAAAACTCTCTCAAGTACCTACACGTAGCGCTTGATTTCAAGTCTGAGACCACTGGGTTTAGCATCAAAAGACGTCAGTCATCCGTCACTTTTAAACAATCAGTTCGCGATTCTATCAGCTGAGGGAGTTAGGAACTCGTAACTCTCTTTGATAATACGGCACCAAGGTTCCAACCATATTACTGGATACCTAAACATTGCTAAAACAAAATACAAAATAACAGGAAGACTTACGAGGCACAGTATCCAGGATACCGGTCGAGGTCACTATGCCGGTCACGGCTGCAGCAGACGAGTCGTAAAAGTCGCGCAGTGCGGCCCACTCGTGTGGCCACGCCAGCACCCACAGCCTGCACACGAAACAGGTCAATAAAACCTGTTCAAAGCTTAATTGAATTAGCACAGGCGAATTCCTAATTTGAGTCCTTTCCATAAAAACGATTTGAATAAACTATTATAAAATAGATGTTATACAACTTCCAATGCGTCTCGACTGGGTTTTGGTCAACATTGTGGAATTTATTAGACAACAAAAACTACATGTTTCTCAAGCCCGTGCTATCAAAAATAGTTACGAGGTCATAACTCAGTTAACCAATCATAGACAGCTTTTTAAGCTAAACGCAGCTATCAGAGGCGAGAAATCGGCCGTTACGTGTATTTGAGGGAGTATTCACAGTGCGGTCTTTGTCGAGCAAATTGCTAGTACGGTCTGAACTTACTGAGACTGCCTGTATGGAGGGAGGAGTTTGGGGGAGTAGCAGGCGAGGTTGTGGGAGCACAAGAGGCGGGAAGTGGTGAGGGGAGGAGGAGGTCCAGCTTCACCCTTCATGCACTCTCTGAACGAGGACGAAATTATTTTCATTACTTTTATATCAGAGATCAATTATTAGAGAATATTTATAACGCGGACATATGAAAGTCAAAGAATGTCTATTAAACAATGCATCAAACGTCAGCTTGCAAATGCTTAAAACGTTACTATTTTCCAGGACTGCATAAAATATTTAACTACAATAGTAAAAAAATTGATAAAAAGCCAGAGACCCAAATGTAAAGAGTAAATGTTATTTAGACACTTATCACTTAAATTTTATATGAAACAATGCAATGCTTAGACTTGAAAAGAGTGAAAATAACGTTACCGCAGATAGGTCCGCAACTGCACCACGAATTGCTTGTCGAGCAGCACGACGTTCTTGCTGACGTCGACGGCGAGTCTCGGTCGCTTCTTGTCCGCGTAGAGCGAACTCAACTTGCGCTTCAACTCCAACCCAGCCTCACATGCGCTCTCCGAGGCACGCACCTCGTCCTGCCAAAAGAATTATTCATTATTTTTCCTCAGAAGTCAATGGCACATATGTGGCCACAGCACTCGTGTCGCTGGCCTACTATAGAAACGATATTATAGAAACGATAAAATATTTCATCACTATTAGTCCATTCGTTTTCATTTAAATAATTATATTAAAACCTAAAACTAGTGAGACGAGCACATCACTTCCAAGTGCTCACATCTCGAGGTTGTGGGAGCACAAGAGGCGGGAAGTGGTGAGGGGAGGAGGAGGTCCAGCCTCACCCTTCATGCACTCTCTGAACGAGGACGAAATTATTTTCATTACTTTTATATCAGAGATCAATTATTAGAGAATATTTATAACGCGGACATATGAAAGTCAAAGAATGTCTATTAAACAATGCATCAAACGTCAGCTTGCAAATGCTTAAAACGTTACTATTTTCCAGGACTGCATAAAATATTTAACTACAATAGTAAAAAAATTGATAAAAAGCCAGAGACCCAAATGTAAAGAGTAAATGTTATTTAGACACTTATCACTTAAATTTTATATGAAACAATGTAATGGTTAGACCTCAAAAGAGTGAAAATAACGTTACCGCAGATAGGTCCGCAACTGCACCACGAATTGCTTGTCAAGCAGCACGACGTTCTTGTGGACGTCGACGGCGAGTCTCGGTCGCTTCTTGTCCGCGTAGAGCGAACTCAACTTGCGCTTCAACTCCAACCCGGCCTCACATGCACTCTCCGAGGCACGCACCTCGTCCTGCCGAGAGAATTATTCATTATTTTACCTCAGAAGTCAATGCCACATATGTGGCCACAGCACTCGTGTCGCTGGCCTACTATAGAAACGATATTATAGAAACGATAAAATATTTCATCACTATTAGTCCATTCGTTTTCATTTAAATAATTATATTAAAACCTAAAACTAGTGAGACGAGCACATCACTTCCAAGTGCTCACATCCCTAGACTAAATGGAAATATAGGTATTTCATTACTTCCACTTCCAAGTGCTCAAATACCTAGACTAAATGGTAATATATTTCATTATTTCTGCACTTTCATCGCGCTCTTTAAAGATGAATAAAACGCGCGTAGTTTTGAATCTAAGCAGATAGTGCATATTCGCTCCTACACGCACTTGACACTTGACGCAGAGGTCGAAGGACTCCTGAAGGACCGCCTCGTGCACGTATCCATGACAGAGCTGCAGGATGCGCGAGTATGAGTCCTCTGGTAGCCAGGATACGTAGGACTGCGGGTTGAGGCTGCCATGCTGACACACGATGTCGCCGTTCACAAATTCTTGCTCCGGAGCCGAAGCAAAATTATTTTCCATTTTGAGATCATCTGCACTTTTGTGAGGTGCAACTACGGATTCCGATACAGAAGAACTATTTTCCAAGCTATTTTCTGTGCACACATTCTCATGAACTGGAGGTTTCTTTTTGTCAACCAAAGATTTTGAGCTGAGATCACCGACACTCCGCTCGTTCTCTTCACTACTGACCATTTGATCATGATCATATCTTGTCGTCGCGCAATTTGCCTGCTCAGTGTTTGTATTTTTAGTGGCGCCAGTGGAGGATTGAAGGATGCTTCCAGTCCGGTGGTCAGAGTTGAAGTAGACGTCAATTTTGTTGTCTGCAACGTACTTTTTGGCTGCTATTTTCGGCCAGCTGTCCAAACTGAGAGCGCCAACCAGCTTACATCCACTGCAAAATTAAACTAAAACTAAGTAACAGCGGGAAAAAATTACATTTTATAATCATAAAGTTCATGGAATTCGCGTCTGAGAGCATAATTAATTCTGCTGTCGAGTGAGACCAATCTTATGTGGTGAGAGTAACAATTATGCAAGTCAGAACTTAGTACGCAGTATAAGAAAAAAATATGAGTTTATAAAAAGCACAGATTAATAATTATAAATTGGGGCTAACCTGGTTTTATATTTGACAGCTTCCCTCCTGTACTGGCGATGCAGGCGCCTCAGTGTCTCGAGGAAGCGGATGAAGTTGGCATGCTGCGCCACGCAATCCGCGCACATTGCCTCATCCGGCGACATGAACGGTAAGCCAAATTCTGCGTTATTGCCACACTCAACATTTTTTGCGCAACTTTCATGGTCAAGGCTCGTAAGAGAAGGAGCGGGCAGTGGATGAGTTGCGTTTGGAATAGAAGAAGTGGTAGGAAGCGAAGAAACTGCTACAGAAGAAGAAACTGCCGAAACAGACGAAGATGCTGTCAGAAAAGGAGCTGTTTGGAGAGAAACTCCTGGAAGCGAAGGAGCAGTTGAAAAAGAAGATTCCGCAGTAAGGAAAGAAGTCTTTGGTGCGCATGAAGGTGGACAATTATTTGTTGTAACATACTGAGAAGTAATTTCTCTTGATTGAACGGTAGCAGCAGGAACGATGGTAGTAGATTGTGGAGCAGTGGTAACTACGGAGGGACCAGTAGAAGATATTATAGGAGATGATGAAAATGCACCAACAGAATTTTCTGGGGATAAAATAAATTTGTTTACCGTTGCACCGGCGATCTCGGCATTCTTGTGGCTATCCTCAGTAATATTTTTAGCAGTTCCAGAAACCACGCTGTGTGCCGAGTCATCAACATGTATTAATGGATGAATAAAATTAACATGCGAGTTTTTATTTTCGTGGTCAATGGAAGCGCTGTTCACATCAGTGCGGAATCCTTGGTCATTGCGAACAGAGACGTCTGCCTGGAGTGATAGAGATGAGGATACGTCGTTATTTTCAACAGGCAACATTTGGCCAATTTCCAAGAAAGAAGTTTGTTGCTGACCGTCAGACTCGGTATCTTGTGATTGGATACCTAGCCCTAGAAGTGGCGCTCGTTCGTGTGGAGTGTTTGAAGAGGAACCGAGGTCGTTTGAACCATATTTCAGCTGGACGTTCATGCCACATGGAGTGTTTAAGAGTTTATTTACCTGAAAAGAACAAGTAAACACCTCAAATTAATAATAAATTTGAAGGAATACTTCAACACAGCAATTAATACGCAACAAAATAGTCCTGAAGACCAAGACTTGCCCGAATAAGAACTGAAAGTGCCTACCCATACCTTAGGTATGGCAACCGTATTGCATGAAATTGTACACAAAGGGGTACACACATTCAAATAAAAATCCTTAGTCAAACTTAGACATTAAAATATGAACCATGCGCAGACGACAAGACTAGAGACAAGATTAATATGAATTGCGACGACACGAAATTATGAATCTCATAGTAAGCTCACCACATCCTTCCGAATGCACTTCATCTTAGACGCAGCAAGGGGCCTGATTTTGCCGTGCGGACACAAGAGTTCGGAGGAGACCGTCTCCTCTTGATAATAAACAAATCGCTGGTCCTCTGAAGCCGCCCACGCCGCCAGCAGGGACTCTGGCATGAGAAGGAAGAAGTCCTCCTTCGACCTGACACTGAGTTCCTTCAGAAGGTCCTGCCGGGCACTTTGAACACGGAACCTCTGTTTGCTTTCTTGACTCTGGAAAGGAGATGTGACTGTGAAGCTCGCTTGTAGTCTGTTGACTTTAAGTTCTTCCGCAAAAATCAAGGAGGTCAAAAGTTTATCAATCCTCAAACACCGGTAACAAACAGACTTTACCCCTATGCCCTTATCTCTCAAGCCCCCACGGCCCTCGCCCCTCATTCTCTAGAGCCCTCGCCCCTCATTCTCTAGAGCCCCCGCCCCTCATTGCTCCACGGCCAACGCCTGTCATGCCCCCCATGCCTCTTGCCACTTATCCCCCCACTCACGCCTCACCTCATGTGAATTGACGTATTTGATGACGGCAGCACGGGGGGCAACAGAAGGAGGCGCGGGCTGCAGGTCCACCAACGTGTAAGCCCACAGGTGCACCCCCCGCGACACGCGCGTACCAGGTCGGCCTGCGTGCGCGGCGCTCACATCGCCTGCGCCACAACAAGGTATTACAATCATATTATATGCTAAAAAAAAACATTTTAAAAAATATCACACTACCTATATGCTGACGACATCAGCAATAGTACGATACTCACATTCCTTCATCAACTTCCTTTATTAGAACAGTGCCTTTTCGAAAAATATAAATTGATTAATACTTTGACATCGAGTCTCTGAAATCACACATCCCACAACTCCGCCTTCCAAGAAGCACACGAATAGTTTTGGGTTTCAGAAGCTTTACCGAGCAAATTTTCTTCAGTGGAACTCAAGACGCATTTGTACAAAATTATGTAAAGAAGTCACTTTGAACATTGTTACGAAGAAGCGAAGTCAGTTTTATCACAGCCTTTGCACATCATTCACCATCACTGAGATAGAGCATCAGAACATCATTCACCATCACAGAGATAGAGCATCTGCACATCATTCATCATCACCGAGATAGAGCATCTGCACATCATTCATCATCACTGAGATAGAGCATCAGCACATCATTCACCATCACTGAGATAGAGCATCAGCACATCATTCACCATCACTGAGATAGAGCATCTGCACATCATTCATCATCACTGAGATAGAGCATCTTAACATCATTCACCATCACTGAGGTAATTAGGATGCGCAGGATCAGGATGGACGGCAGCTGAGGCGTCGCCACCGACGTTGCTGTTGGTCATTTGCAAGACCTGTTCTCCGTGGAACGCAAACCAGCGACCACGCGCTGTCTTCAGCTGACCTGAGCAGTGCAAGCATCGTCAGGCATCATCAGCAGCGCATAATTATCATCAAAAAGGTAAGTCTTTATTGTAGTAGTTGTGGCTGTTTTCTTTTATTTCGCGAACTTGTTGAGCAACAAAGTTATGATTACAGATATTTGACTAAATCTTCTAGCTTGAAATGAATAACAACTATTAATTAAAGACGTCACTTCAGGTGCTCTCAGTTCAAAAATCGTAATTCTGCTTCAACAATATTACCACATTTTCCTGAGGCCCTCCTATTAAAACTTGCTCAGGTACGCGTGGACGCAATTTCACGTCCGTCATTGGAGGTTTAGCTTTAAAAGCTGTTAGTGATTGGCTGACGTAGTTGCTAACTCGTGATTATTTTAGATAGTACAGCTCCTTAGCACTTCATCAAAGAGAAGTTCTTACAAGAGTTGCTATCCTGGTACACGACTCCCGAGAGGACGTAGTGCGCAGCTCGGCCGTCTGCGGTGTGGGCGCTGAGGTTGAGGTGATCAGGGAACACTGCGTGGGGCTTCTTCTCACCGCTGTGGCTGTGGCAAATAATTAGGCTCCCTGATGACAGTTATTAATGTCCAATGTACGTAAACCTCTAGACTGCCAGAGTTTCTATCCGCATACTTAGAACATAAAATATGGCAAATATAGGGCTCCACAATGACCGCTTTTTAAATGTCTAAAGCTTGTAAATGAAGCCTCTAGACTTAAAATGTATAAACTTAAGATAGAGCATTAAATGTGGTAAAAGCCAGGAATTTTAGGTAGCGATTTTTTTGCCTCACCAAAAGTACTATACGACCTGTCATATTTTGTACATTTCTGAATTAAACATTTAAATGATAACAAAAAGGAGTATTTCAGAAAATTAAGATGTACTGTGCCTTTAATGATGGTGAAGCTTGGTACTGAATGCTATGGTAAGAAGGGAAAGATTAAAGATCTCACGCAGAGGACGAGTTCTCGATGAGAAGATAGTACGGCAGATCGGCTAGCTTTGTGGACACTTCTCTATCCACTCTGACCACGTGACCACATCCACCCTCTTGGCCATTTCCGCTCCATGCTTGTCCGCCGCATACCATTGGGACGCCAGCCTCTTTGACCATCTTCAACAATAATAGAGGCTTTAAACTTTGTTTTTATCCAATATCATGAACAATTTAAATGATGAGTAAGTCTTTCTAATAAGAGAGACATTCTAGTTTGATTTCACAATACCTTAAAAATGTGTACCAAGAATTTAAAAGCAAAGAAAATAACCAGAAAATTTACCGTTTATTATAATATAGGCAAACGTTTCGGAGTCCAACTCCATCGTCAGTTCAAAACCTAAAATACAGGTACAAACAATTAACAAATAAATTCACATTGGAGCATAAATCGTAAAATGAAAAAAAAAATAACTAACTACCTCCCAAATGTAAATCTTCATGTATTATTGGTGAATAATTTTAAAATCAGTTCTTTTTTCAGGTATTCGATCCCTGTTCCTACGCGATTGTTCTTAGTTTATCAATATAGTTGTGCGCTATGCGCACCTGCGTATGCCGGTATGACATCTCGCAACTTCATATACTAGGCTGGAGGAGCACAAGGGAAGTAGTTTTAGAACTTGAAAACTGCATGCGCATCCCCTTCATTCGGCAGTACGCGATCATGCCGAGCAGTGCAACGTGCCAGTATCCTATAGTGATTTTCGAATTGTAGCCTCTACAACAGGCGTTTCTGACATGCGAATTTTTATATATGCAAAAACCTTTATATTTCTAAACAAAAGCCTAGTTTAAATGCCGCCAACAGTTCATATCCCCTCGAAATTATAACTAAATAGGTTGGACTACTCATATTTATTTAATTGTTATTTGCTCATTTGGCGATTTATGCCTCAATGTGAATTTATTTGCTAATTGCTTGTAACTGTGTTTTAGGTTTTGAACTGACGATGAAGCTGGACTCCGAAACGGTTTCCTTTATAATAAATGGTGAATTTTCTGGGTATTTTCTTTGCCTTTAAATTCTTGATAAACCTGCGATTTTAAACTGCTCCTAATACCTAAAAATGTGTACTCATTATAAAGCTAAGATTTTAACTACTTTACTGTACGAAAGTTATTCAACCCTAAAAATACTCATTAAAAAACACCCGGCGTTAGTCAACAGGATAATTAAATTAAGAACAAATATCCCAGGTGCTTTTGAGGATAAACGCACCCATAAATCGATCAAAGAATTGGCCAGAAGGTCTTGATCCTGCTGAACAGAAGCTCTGAGGCGGTAACAGGAAGATGACGGCCCCTGTTGCTGGTGAACTACGGCACACTTGCTGCACTGCCATCTGTTGACGTCAGGAAGAGTTACATAACAGAATCAATGTTAAAATTTCCTTTTGAAATTTGCATAAAATATGTTATCAAATGCGATGGTGGCTGCAGTGCATAATTCTTTATATTGTTTCATCGTCTTCAAAGTGATGATGGCAAAGCTCATGTTTTAATAACAGAGCAAATAGAAACTGAATACATTAAATTCAACAAAGTCCAGGGCTATTTGCTTGTGCTTTTTAAACAATCAAGAAATAATAAGATTATTGAATAATTACTATTATAAGTTACTAGAAATTCTATACCATTGTAGAAAAATCTTGCCTAGGAATAAGATTACTTGATTATTTTGGTTGTGGTGATGGCGAATAGCGGAGCGATGGCAGGAGCAAGGCTAGTCTCAGCTATCAGCCAATCAATGGTGGCCTCGAGGAAGTCAGCTGAAGAGACGCAGTTCTCTCTTGAGGCCGTGGCAACAATTCGCTCCAACGCGCTCCCACCCTCGCATGCTATACTCCTGGATATGAGTATAACATGTTCTAATTGATGCAATTAATGGCAAGCTTGGTGAGATTTAACTTGAAACTGACTGCAAGAACCGGTGTCTTACACCGCACTTCTGGCAAAAAACTGAAATTTTTTTATTTTATAGATATCTTCATCAATATTTTGTCAAAAAAATTATTTCAAACACAGTTAAAATTTCCACTTATTAAAAATTACGGGGAAATTATTATACAGTAAAGACTTTTATTATAAAATGTTTAAAACTAGACTATTATTCGAAACTATGAGTTCTTTACATAACTCACTTGAAGGCGTGGGTCTCCATTTCTGCAAACAGAACTTGCAGCAGATGAGACAGAGACGTCAGTGAAGTGTCAAAGCTGAAGTCCTCCAGAGAATTTATAGCATTCCTACCACGAAAGAACCAAAATGAATTTTAAAATGTAAAAAATACTCGAAAAATAAAAATAAACCAAATCATTGTAAATTGGTGTAGATAAAATGATATTTATGTTGCACGTTATCACGGAAAGAAAATAACCTCTTTCAAATACTGCAAAATTGCTTCCCATTTATTTTTATTTTAATATATAAATGTAGAATTATAATCAGATTACAGTACAATTATTGTGTATTTGGATGACAATCTTTCAACAGACCTAAATTTACGATGATGGAAGAGCAACTGCAGAGCAGGGTTGACCACAACAGCTTGAGGCAAATGCGCCTCCAGCCCGACTGGGTAGTCTGGGGCGACGCGCGGCTGCTGCGTCAGAGGCAAGTGGGCATCTAAGCCCTCCTTGATGGTCGAGCCTATCTTGTAGCCAGTCAAGCAGAAGGGGTTCAGAGGACACTTTTTCCTGTCGAATTAAAACACTTCCATCAAAAATATGCAATATAGCATTTACTTTAAAAAATTTAATTCAAGAACACCCATTCAAAATTGCTGTTAATGGCCATAATACAGAAAACAACTGCGCATTGATAATAAGATACATTTGATGATATATAGCCAAGTGGTTAGAAGAACAGGTAGTCATAAAAGAACAATAAACCTATACAATGTTATTGTGGGGAATATAAAGTTTCAAATGTTGTTACAATAGTACCTACCTATACTATACACACTAATGAAAATCAGACCAAAACAATAATAGCTTTCTTTAGGCCTATGCAATTACAAAACAAAACAAAAATATCGTCATACAAGCCAGAAAATTGATCAGTTAAAGTTAAGTAACTAAGAAATAAAGTTATGAAAATATTTTAACAAGAAATTTGCAGCAAGTACCATCAAGATTCTATGATACATACACACAAGGTAGGAAGAGTGGCAGCCTGTGAAGTCCATAGGCTCGCAATAGATGAGTTTTACTGATATTTCCAGGAGAGAAGACTTGGTCGAACAACCAGTGCTGATTGGGCTTCAATATTGTATTAGTAGGTAAATTCGTATCTTTAATTGTGTCAACATCCATTTCATTAGAGAACTTGCTTGCAATTGTACTCTCTTGTGGCTTCATACACTCTTTATTGGCAGTAACAATATCATTGTGAGGAGGAACTTGACTGCAATGTTGTGGTGATTCAGCATCACGCGTTCCAGGTTTAGGAAAATCGTGAGTGAGAGCCCACTTCCAACGTTCCATTCTGTAGCCATAGCGAGTGTAACAAAGATCAGCATTAAGCCTGCAATAAAAGATCATAGATGTAGTAAACCACAATTTTAACTAAACAAAGAGTAAACACCTCAACACCTTGTAGGTTATAGAGTAACTCAAGGATTTATAAAAAAATATGCTTCAATGCAGGAGAACACATCATTATTAATGGCATGAAGAATGTTATTTTTCACTGAAAAAAAAAATTTACATGCAATTTCTTGTGCAACAATTGAAATTCCAAGACAAAACAGTAGTAGAATAATCAATTACAGGCTAGGTACTAAAACTCACTGCACATTATCATCTTCTGAAACTGAGTCCTGATCATCTTCACTGGCATCACTTAGTGGCGGGCCATCAAGCGTGGAGCGTTTGCGTGCTTGATACAAAGTGGAGATCAGCCCTGCTTCCTTTACATTGTCTATTTGCCACCTGGGAAGTCAATTCTGAATTGAGACGATACATAATTACGTAGGGTATTTAAAACGATGATCAATAATCTACAAAATGAATCTATAAATAACAGAAATCTATAATTAATATATAGCAATAATTTCAGTCATTTATAATTATTTAGGCTTTCAGGTTAATTTTATGAAGTAGGTAGACAAATAAAATTTCAAAGTTGAATGCAAACACGATAATTGCATGGTATTCTAGATGTCCTTCTTAATACAGAATAAAATACAAATAAGTTTACTTTTGTTTCTCTTCTTTAATGATCACGCTGTAAGGGGTTTCTTCGTTCATGCTGCGCTTCTTGCAAGCAGATTCAAACTTGAGCTTCACAAGAACAGAAGGGTCTTCAGCATGGGAATGATTTGAAGTAATTTCAAACAAGCCCTTCATGACTCCTTTCTTCATGTTGGGCTGTTTCTTTCTCTTGAAGTTAGCAGTTGCCTTACAGCCATTCCTGGCACACGAGAAATACAGAGTGCTGCCTCTTTTCCTTTTTACCCTGTACAGATATCCTGTATTATCAACAGGATAATATAAGTTACTTCCCATTCGGTTGCCTTCACAGGCCTTCATCTCAACAACACGGGGAGAATGACGGCTCCTAACTTTGGTGCCTTGGCCCACTGCCATTTTTTTGTAGGGTTATCTGTAAAATAGAACAAGTTAATAATGTTAGAGAAAAATCTGGTACTTACATTATTTCAAGTGCCCAGTGCCCATCTAAAAAAATAAGTTTTATTGAATCTTTGATACCTAACAACTATATTTACCAGTTAGGTATCTATCACTACCAACTGCATCCTAAAGCATTGTAGTTGGTTATAGCTGTCAAGTTTTAATGTTTTAAAGGCTCTGGTGCAACGGCCTTCTCGTGGTGGAGCCGACTGGGTCGTCTATCGACGCCCCAGCAAACCGTTGTGTAACCCCTCCCTACCCCGTCCCGCCGCGCGGGGTTTTTCTCCACCGGAGCGGTCTCTCCCGGCCAGCCTGCTCCGGATCCTCCTTTTAATGACCGGAATAAATCCCAACGCTGGGCCGCGAATCTGGATATGCGCAGTTTGTAACAAAACCATAAACAAAATGCAATATTCCATACGCTGCCGGACATGCTACAAATGGTACCACATGGTCGCCTGCTCAACACAAGTTAACAACTACTACCTTTGCAACAACTGCCCAAGGCCTCTTCCTCCCTCTCCCCCACCCGCCGTCCGGGCACCCAGGGCCCGTCTGCCCGCCCCAGCCATTCCGCCTGCGCGTCCCAGCTCACCGCCCACTGGAACCCTGAGGATTCTCCAGTTTAACTGTAACGGATTACAGAACAAATCTGACGAAATCGAACTCTTTCAGGCCACCCACAGCATTCAAGTAGCAGCCATCCAAGAAACAAAACTATCTTCCCGCTCCAAAGACCCGAAATTTGACAACTTCGCTGTCTTCCGAAAAGATAGGAGCACGGGACGTGGCGGAGGCCTGATGTTGATTCACAACAGTATCGCGTTCACTATTAAGCAGCTACCAGACCATAACCCAATCGAACAACAGGCGATAACCATCAAGGCCAATAACACTGATCTTAACATAATGAATGTCTACATCACACCCCAATCCTCCTGCCCACCGAACTTCAGAGCCTCAATCTCCCATCTCTTAGTGCCAAACTCATTGATACTTGGCGACCTGAACGCACACGACCCTCTCTGGCACACGCGCATCCAGGACACACGTGGAGAGGAACTGGCGGATGAGATCGGCAGTTTTGATCATGGGACGCTGAATTTGGACACACCAACCCGGCTGCCAACCGCAGGACAGCCCTCCTCGCCAGACCTTTCAATCGCCTCAGATACCCTGATCACCCACATGGATTGGACCACCATGACCACTCTGTCATCCGACCACCTGCCAATCTCAAGACCCCGAAAATCACCTTCACGAACTTTGCCAAAGCCGACTGGGAAAAATACACTGCCGACACCGAGGCCGCCTTCGAAAACTCCGTCTTCCCTGCCAACTTGTCTACAGCCGAACATCAGTTTCGTAAAATTTTACTCAGCGCAAGCAACCGTAACATTCCTTCAGGCCGTCACATCTGTTCCGAGCCGGGCCTCTCCAAAGACATCATCAACCTCACCCGACAGCGAGACATCCTCCGTGCTGCCGACCCCACTTCCGACGACGTAGCAGCCCTCACTGCCCGTATCCACCAGCTCACCAACGACAACAAAAAAGCCCGTTGGAAACAATACCTCTCTACCTTTAACCGCCATACCAACGTAAACCGCCTCTGGTCAACAATAAAGGCCCTGGCCGGCAAACCGAAAAACTACCCCAATATCGTCATCAACTTCAATGAGAGACCCATCAATAACACCAAAAAGCTTGCTGATCGCTTCAACAGTCTCTTCACGGCTGTCACTCAACACAGGTCTAAGAAACTCAATAAAATCACAACCCGGAAGTCAAAGAACCTCGACGTATCGGACAGTCCCTCCTTCTCATCGGCACAAGTGGCCAACGCAATCAAACAATCCCGTCCCTCCAAGGCCACTGGACCAGACAAACTAACCATCTTTCACCTCAAATATCTTGGACCACTCGGAATTGCTTACTCGACACGCCTTTTCAATGAGTCCTTCCGCACATGCCGAATTCCCGACATTTACAAATCCGTCAAAGTCATACCGGTGCTCAAACCCGGCAAAGCGGACAACAATCTCAGACAAACACCCACCCTTCACTCACCAATCACTACTCGAGAAATCCAGGAACTAAATGCACAAATTCAGAACAAAAGCACAGAGCAACAGCAACGGGCCTGGCTCGAGTTCTGGATACACTTGACCACAAATCCAACATCACACATCTTTACAGAACAATACGCAGCTTACACAACTCAAACAGCAAACAAGGACACACCCACGCAGCAATCACCACAAACACAGACACCATCCCCACCAGACAAGCACAAGCAAACATGCTAATACAACACTACGCAAAGTAGCTTACCCAAATACAAAGTAGACTGACGCATCATCAGACGCAAACAACAATTTCCACTAGACCCAACAGCTACCCTAGCCACTACAAACGACACCAAAAGGGTCATACAACAAATTAAAAACTCTTCCGCTGCTGGGCCCGACAACATTACAAACATACACCTTAAACACCTTGGCCCACACAGAATCACGACACTTGCAAACATTGCCAACCTCTCCTACTCACTCCGAAATACCATACATCTGGAAAATTGGCAAAATAACCACACTTCTCAAACCCAACAAACCACCCACTGAGGCCGCCTCATACAGACCAATCACACTCCTCTGTACACCATCAAAAGTCATAGAGCGCCTCATACTGAACACAGCCACTCCGCACATTACAATTTCTCCAACACAACACGGATTCAGACCTCACCACTCGACCACAACACTACTCACAAACCTCACACAAAGCATAAACGATGGCATCAACTCCCGCAAACACGCACACAGAACACTACTACTTACAATAGACATCAGTAAAGCCTTTGATGCCATCCCTTGCCTCCCTCTCACAAACAAAATTTACAACACCACACTACACAACAACAACAACAAACGCTGGCTTGCCAATTACCTTTCAGGCAGACAAGCTTACGTACACTACTCAGGCAAGTCATCACAAACAATACTCATACCCAACGGAGTCCCACAGGGCTCCGTCCTATCACCCTCACTTTTCAATCTATACATGCACGACATACCCGAACCAGCTCTAAACATCCACATTGCCTCCAGACGACGTCACAATAACATCCACTCACCCATCCGCAGACATATGTACTCAACAAGCGCAAACATATCTCAACACTTTATCACAATGGCTCACACTGAACAGACTCAAAGTTGCTTGTAGTAAATCCACAAACACATTAATGACCAGCCACACAAAGGAGCACCAATACAGACCAAACATCACATTAAACAACACCCCGATCCCGCACACACACGAAACAAAAATACTAGGGGTCACTTACAACACCTCCATGACATTCGGCCCTCACATCAACAACATAGTTGGAACGACCCCCTGTCGGTGGTCGTACCTGCGCGAGGGGGGTCTCTTATAAAAATGAGACCGGGGAACCACAACAACAACAACAAAAACGACGACGCTAAATCCTACCGACCAATCTCCCTGCTTTGCCCCGCCATCAAAGTACTAGAAAGATGTTTGCTAACTATTATCACCCAACACCTGCCCCTAGCCGATCACCAACATGGATTCCGGCCCGGATATTCGACCACGTCTGCACTCACTCTTCTCACTACAGACATCATCTACGGTCTAAACAAAAAGAGGCCCGCCCACCGAACCATCATTGCCGCACTGGACCTCACTAAGGCCTTCGATACCGTCAACCACCGGATACTGATCGACGACCTTCTCGCCTCCCCACTACCCGGATCTATCTCCCGCTGGATCTCCAACTACCTACACGGCCGTTCTGCCTCAGCGGAATTCCGGCATCAAAACTCTAAACACCGATTAATCCACACAGGTGTTCCACAAGGCTCCATCCTGTCTCCTGCCCTCTTCAATTACTATGTCTCCAAGGCACCCCAACCACCACCCAACATCAAGATTATCTTCTACGCTGACGATTTCACAATCTACAGCACTGGTCCTGACGCCGACATTCTCACTCAGCAACTCAACGACTACCTCCCCAACTCTGCAACTTTTTCACTAACCGCAACCTGGAAATTTTTGCCAGCAAATCAACAGTCACCCTCATTACACCGCACACGGCCCAGTACAATCACCATCCTTAAGTCAAAATAAACAATCAACTACTCCCGCTAGAACACAACCCAAAAATCCTTGGCTTAACCTGCGACACCATGCTCACCTTTACCGCCCAACACAGAACTATGGCAGCAAAAGCCTCAAAACGTAACAACATACTGAAAGCACTCTCAGGCACTTCCTTTGGACAAGATAAGGAAACCTACTACAAACATACAAAGCCATCGGCCGCCCAATAATTGAGTACACCAGCCCAGCCTGGTCTCCTGTCACCTCTCCTACCAACATCACCCGCCTCCAAATGTTCAATATTCTGCTCTGAGAACCATAACCGGTTGCCACAACACAACTGCCGAACAACATCTTCACTCCGAATGTCAAAGGCTCACTGTTCAACAACATATGGACCTCCTCTCAGCCCAGTACCTTCTGCGGAGTCACCTTCCTCAACACGCCTGCCACCAAGTCACAAGACTGCACCCCCAACCCCGCAACATAAGAGATACTCTTTTCATCAAATACATAAATGCCATTCAACCTTCACTTCCAGCCACTATTAACAGTGCCACCCTCAAAGCAGCTAGCAGCACTCTCCACTCCAACGCTGCCCAAGCTGCCATCGACTTGTACACCACCCACCAGTTCTGCTCAACGGTTGGCCTCCTCTGCTCCCAACAATAGATAAATCTGAACAAACACTTCAAAGATCCTCTAGACGAACTCTAGCACAGCTTTGCTCCGGCCATTGCAAACTTCTGAACAGGTACAAAAGCAGAATTCATAACAACATCAATAACCTATGCAACTACTGCCATCACTCCCTGAATTATGTGCCCTACCTCTTC